GACCCCCAGCGTGTGCTGGCTCCCAGCAGGCAGAAAAGCTGCTGCTGTTTCCTCCCACTCCCCAGCAACCCAGGGCTCCAGCCCCTGTCTGTATTTGTGGCCACTTTAGAACCATAGACTCCTAGAACTGGCAGGGACCTCGAGAGACATCGAGTCCAGTCCCTGCCCTCCCGGCAGGACCAAGCACCGTCTAGACCAATGTTTCGCAACCTTTGTTTATAAACTACCCCTTTTGCCAAAAAAAAAAAAAAAATTAGACGTGCCCCCAGTACCGACAGTTTTCAGACACACATTTTTTTTCTACCATTGCAACACATTTGTTTGAACAACTTAATCGTAGCCGGGCTGGCGATGAAATTTGTGGGTGTAAAAAGTACAAAACTAATCCAGCGCCGTCAAACTTCCAACAAAAATTCCGTTTTCTCCAAATTTCCGTTGTGTTGACGTCACCCCAGACTTCTCTCGAGGACCCCTAAGAGTGCTCGTACCGCTGGTTGAGAACCGCGGGGCTAGACCATCCCTGGCAGGCGTCTGTCCAACCTGCTCTTCACTATCTCCAGCGATGGAGTTTCCACCCCCTCCCTAGGCAACCTCCAAACCTCCATTGCTCCATCCAAGCCTCTGCTAGGAGTCGATTCCTTAGGGGTGTAAATTAGAGCAACCACTAAGCTGCACTGCGTTAACTACTACCTGTCCTGGGTGGCACAAAGTCAGTGCCCCTCCACGCTGTGCAAATGCAGTTCATATGCATCCGACAATTGAGCCCTTAGTATTACCAATCGTACCAGTCGGGTTAACATAATGGTATTATATTAGACACCCCCCGTAATACGATAGAAACATAACCACGGCTCACGCACGCACAAAGAGAAACTTCTCTTCTGCTTTAAATATTGTGACCCGTGTGTAGATAACGTGCCACTCCTGGGAATGGAGATGTTGAAAGTGCAGATGCAAAAGCCTTTGAAGGGCAAAATAAGATTTGAGTCCATTCTAAAGAAGGAAACAAGAAAAAGATTTAAAACTGAGCATTGCCTAGAAAAGGGAGGAGGCTGTGTGTGTGTGTGTGTGTGTGTGTGTGTGTGTGCAAAAGACCACCAGGCCCACACAGCTGTGTGTAAATGCAGCTCCTAGTTTGTGGGCTGCTCCCAGCCCCCGTGTTCCTCCCCCTGGCCACGCTCCCCCCCCCCCCCCCCCCCAGCGCCATGTGCCTGCTGAATGTCTCTGCCGTGCTGTGATCATTGTCGGGCCTCTCTCCGGCCACGCAGGCGCTGTCCCTCAAGGAGTCAGAGAAGACCCTCCTGTCGGAGAAGCTGACGGGCGCCCAGCACAACCTCGCCAGCGTCACCATGGAGCTGGAGCGGCAGAAGCGAGAGGCCATGAGCCGGCAGGAGCAGGACCGGGTTGGTGCAGGCATTGGGAGGGTGTGATCTGCACCGGCACAGGAGACAGTCGCTGCTGGGGGTTAGCGCTTTCACTGCAGAGTGCGTAGAGGGGGCCGATTGTGGCGGCTGAACTGATGCATAATTCGGGAAGCAAATAACACCAGCACTTCATGCCTACGTAGCATTTTCCAGCCGTTGATGTCGGTGCAATTTGCAAAGTTCCATTTCACACGTAGGGAAACTGAGGCACAGATGGACTTGCCCGAGGCCACCACGCAGAAGTGGGAATAGAATCCAGGTCTCCTGAACCCCAGTCCAGTGCTCTGTCCCCTAGACAGCACTGCCTCTTGCTGGCCTACACAGCTCCATAGATACTTTTTAATCAGTACAGGGTGTCCCCACTATAAGTTGCCTTGCTATACAGCCGTTCCACACTGAAATCATGGACGCTTGTAGGAACCGATGTGTTGTAAGTTCTCCCATTACCCACCCTTAAGTCATGCAAAAAGAAGCCAACCCAATTTGCGCAAAGGGAAGTCAGATGCGGGAAAAAAAATCCCCGTTTTAAGGTGTTTCGCTGAAAGTCCTAGTTTTTTGGAACGTATCTTGGACTTATAGTGAGGACGGCCTGTATCTACAGACCCCGATTCAGGTCCTTTGCTGACACGCTTCAACAACCCCTCCCCCCCCAAGCCATGCCAGTG